AAGGGTGTGAAACACCCCAATAATTCAACTATTTTGAAATGGAGGGAGTATCGTTTAAATTCATCGTTAGGTAACGATGAAAAGACTCATTTTGTGTAACGATTGATTTGGTGTGATTGCATCGTTACCTTAATATTTTTTTCTCATTTTATCTTTACTTATTATTTAGTAATTCTATTTTTTTATTTACCCTACTTTTTCATTGTAGTTCTACCTTGTATCATATAATTTCTTGTAGGTTTATCATTCAAATTATAAATATGTGACATTATGTAATGAACGTTATAATACGATACAATATAATACAATACGATATATTATGAAATAATACATAATAACCATGCAAAAAAAGTGAAACCAGAAACAAAACGTTGCAAGCCTCCTTGGCTTGGAAAGTATGCAAGAAACCGTAAACCATTTGGGCGAGGATAATGTATTTTAAATACTTCCACAACAAGATCCCAGCTACAAAAACCAAAAAGCAGTTTAAAGGACATGGAAACTGTGTAATGCGAGGTTGGAATGCTTGCAAAAAAGGGTCTAAACGGATAGCCAACAATGTCAGAACAATAAGGTTCTTCGAAGATATCTACATCCCAAACCTAAATCCAATAAGAAACCTCATTCATGGTCCCCCTAAACAAAACGAGGATAAGGTAACACTGAATCAATGTTGTGAGAAAGAGAGAGAATGAAAAATGGGGGTGCTATCTTTCAACCTGCCAGGCCTCACTAACATCATCCAAGATAATCACTTCACCCCTCTGAATGGGAAATAAGATGATCTTACTTGGGGCCTTATCAAAGATGACTTCTTTTTTTCTATAAAAAGTACCTACTACGTGCTTGACAAGAAGCATAAAGAGCTTGGGAAAATCAATCAAAAAGAGTTTGGATGGATTTGAAAACAAGAAATCCCCAATAAAATCAAATCTTTCATGTGGATCCTCCGGCATAAAAGATTACCCACCAATGGCTACCTCCACAACATAGGTATCAACATCAACCCATAATATCATTATTATGGGCATCAAAGTGAAGACATATCTCACATCCTCTTTCATTGACCCAAAGCAAGGAACTTTTGGAAGGAACTCTCCCTCTGGAAAAACCCAAGATGGAGATAGATCTTTCAAACATGAATGCAACTAACATAAAATAGGTCGGAAAATTCCTTAAGGATAAGCACTTCAACAGATAAATACCAGGAAAATTAGTAATCCTCTTAAGCTTATGGCATATGTGGCTCGGAAGGAAAGCTAATGTATGTAATGAGAATAAATACATGATCAAAACAAACCTTGTGATCGTTAGTGCTACTGAATACCACCTTCTTATCGACACAATAATGCCAAAAATCAAGAAAAACATTCAAGTCAAATGGGACACCCCACCATAGGGCACATACCAACTCAACATAAATGGCTCAATGGGAACCTCTCCAGGGCCTAGGGGCATTGGGGGGAGTAAGCATAAATCACAATGGGAAAAAGTGGATATGGGCTTCACTAAAAGGCTACCCCACACAGATGCAACTAATGCCGACATTATAACAATCCTCCATGGACTTCGAGTAGCAGTTCAATTGATTTTAAAAGGTCACCTTCGTCACACTAACTTAATTTCTGAATGCAGGTCCTTGATGTGGCATATGAGAGCAACGCTAATACATGTATTTCAGGATAAGAACAAAGTGGCAGATGCACTGGTGAATGAGGGAGCTAGGCAAGTAGTTATGGGGAACCCTACCCATTTTGAAGTTTCTCCCGTGTATGCCATAACATCATTAGAAGCAGACACGCTAGGAACTTTTTTTGTAAGAACAATTACAAGCCATGATGGCAGAACAAACGGCTATACACAACATTATTTTCCAAGTGGGGAATTCCTCAACTATGTAATGAGCTAATTTGGTGGGGAAGAAGTTATCTCAGGATTAATCATCCTGAAATTAACTATCTTAGGATAACTTATCCCATCACTCTGGTATAAATGATGAGATAAGTTATCTCAAACATGACAATCAAATAAGACACCAAAATTTTATCCCTAGACTATATTTTTTATCCCAAAATTCTTTATTTTATCACTCACACCAAATGATCCCTAAGTTAATTTATAAGTCTCCGGTATGACCAAACAAAACAAAAAAAATAAAAAATGAACCAAGAGGTTTCAAATTTGAAATAATTAAAAAGGTAGGGGCATATTTGTTTTTTTCCAAAATATAGGAGGACATGCTGGTGAAATCATATATATATAAAAGAGAACCCTAGGCCCGCCTACGTGGCGCCACCACAAACAAGAATTCCCTTTTAATTTATTTATTTTCAAAACTAGCCTTCCCTTTTCATGAAAAGTTGTGACTTTTATGAGAAGTTGTAACTTTTATGAAAAATTGTGACTTTTATGAAGAGTTGAGACTTTTATATCAAAAGTTGTAACTTTTCTGAAAAGTTGTGACTTTTATGAAGAGTTGCGACTTTTATGAAAAAATTATAACTTTTTATGAAAGGTTGTGACCTTTTTCGAAGGGTTGTACCTTTTCCAAAGAGTTGTGACCTTTCCGATAAGGTACAATAAACATTTATTCACACTACCCTTTGTTGTCTATAAATAGAGGGATTTCTTGCCACTATTTTTTGTAGGTTTTTTCCCGTTGTAGGGTCGTGGAATTCAAATACATTAATTAAGCTTCTTATGAAGTTTGTTTCATTCGTCAAAGTTTTCTTCCTCCTATTTCATGGAGCTTAATCTTTACTATAAGTCATAGTGATTCATGTAATTATGACAATTCTTTTTGCTATTTTGGTGACTTTTTTTTTTAACTCTGTTAAAAGTTTTAGTAAAGATGATTAAAAATTGGTCTTCTCTTTTGTCCCTTTCTACAGGTTTCTTCGTATAAGCAAAGAAAATTGATTTTGAATTGAAGGCGACATTACTACTCTTGCACTTCTCATTCCACAACTCATAACGGTGTTGAAATGGTTGAATTCATTACATTAGTTCTTTAGTAAACAAAACTTTTATTTCTGCCACTATTATTTGTAGGTTTTTTTTTGCTATAGGGGAGTCGAATTCAAATACATCAATTAAACTTCTTATGAAGTGTGTTTCATTCCTCATATTTCATGAAGCTTAATCTTTTACCGTAAGTCATAGTGATTCATGTATCTATTGCAATTTCTATTTGCTATTTTGATGATTTTTTTTAACTCTGTTAAAAATTTCAGTGAGGATGATTGAAAATTTATCTTCTCTTTTGTCCCTTTCTACAGGTTTTTTCATATACTTTTTGGGAAAATTGCTTGTGGGTTGTGCTATATTTGATAGCACACAACAACAAATATGTGATAACTAATATGAAACCAATGATGAAGTTTGTTAAAAGACAAAACAGATTCCTCTCTTGCTTGCCACAGTTAGTATTTTATTTTGATTGTTTTTTCTTAGGTACAAACAATTTGTATGTCATTGCACTCTTCCTACAATATTAGTATAGACTCAAATAGTCCACTTCTTTTGTCTTAAGTTAAGTAATTTGTCATATTTCTTCGTCTCTTTTTTTTGGGCATAATAAGAGATCAAGTTTTCATGAAACTAACAAATGTCCAAAATACACTATAACAAAAATAAATTTTTATCGACAATAAATATGCACATTAACGAAGAGTGCTATTGCCTTTACCGACATTAATTAATTGTCATTAGATTCAAGGTTGCAATAAACTTTAGGGACATTTATAGAGATGACCAATTACCTCTGAAAATACATATTTAGCGATAATTAAGCAATTAATTGTCGTTAAAGATCATTTTTACTGTAGTGATAACTCTTTATTTTGATAAAGTTTTACGTTTTTTTTATAAAGAAGTAACAACTCTTTCTTTTGGATTATTTCAATTAAATTTGTGAACGGTAAATTTGGATACAGCCCAATAAACTATCTTTTTGAAAAATATGTTAAGCAACATGTATTTTTCTTCCTGATTGCTAGGAAAATAAGGTTGTCTTTATTATTATTTGTGGATATTTGTGAGTTCAAGTGTTCACAAAATTATGCTGCGAGATTTTAATATGTTATATGTCAAAATTTTGGTTTAGAATATCCAGGTGAATAGTTCTATTCAGATGCCACCTATTGTTTGGTTGATAATTGCATTAATTCTTTGTAACTGCATACTATAACCATAACAATAACTATGGTTTACAATATCCAGCAGAGAACAGTTCCATTCAGATACCACCTACTACTTGGTTGATAATTGCATTAATTCTTTGTAATTGCATACTATAATCATAACAATAACTATGGTTCAATTCCAAATTAGTTGGGGCCGGTGATATGAAACCTGAGCAATAGTAATGACTATTCTGATACAATGAGAAAAAAACATTTAATGATACTAACAATTTTAGGGTCATTTTTAAAATATACATGATGCGTCATATTACAATAAAAACAGATTGATGGAGGTTTATAAGAAAGGAGTTGAAGGTCTTCCATTTGAGTTTAGCTAAATATGTTCTTGTATGGACGTGATGTTCCACTTTACTTGGGAGTGTTGTTGTTCGAGGCTTTTTGGTAGTCTCTTCTTTAACGTCTGATGTTGTTCGTTATAACTTTTTGGAATTTAGCAAATTTCATTACTTCTGACCAACTATTTCTATGGAGATTTTCTTAGACTTCTTTTTTATACTTAAAATCTCTCTATGACTCATAAATGTATCGAAAATATGAATATTACCGAATGATCATATGTAAGCTTAATAAAATAGTACAATTCTGTGCGAAGCACGGGTAATTTACCTAGTATATAAATATATTAAGAAGAAGTAGCAGATTAAACAATTGGCACAGAGAAAACTCTGGAGGTAGTTTTTTTTTCCTCTCTGTGAATCTCCGACGGTGTTTAGAGAATTTGCGTAGGGTTTCGGCAGTTTTAGGGTACTGGTTGAATTGAAAAGATGTCAGGGAAGGTTCAAGATTATCGAATTTTTGTTGGTGGGTTATCTTGGGACGTAACTGAACGTCAGCTCGAAGACGCCTTTAGCCCTTTCGGTAAAATTGTTGATTGTCAGGTTCGCTGTTTTCCTTAATTCACTCTTATATTTCTTTCAATTTCTTAACGTAAATTAGCGCAATTTCTTCTTTGATATGGAAAAGTTGAAGATGTTAGCTGTTGTTCATATATTTGATGATTTAAAAAAAATCTTAGTTATATTGGAAGAGCATATAAATCTCGAACAATTTTGATCGGTGTTCAACTAAGGACCCTGTAGTTGAATGTTGTAAGCCGTCCTGCTTGATACTGAGTTTACTTCATTTTATTCACCTTTTGTTCTAGCAACTATATGGAGCATTTTTTTCTTGATTATTATAACAAGTCCACTTTTCTAGAGTATTCATAACTTAGGCTCAAACATATTCAAAAATATCATCTAGTCATTTATATTGTTGAAACTATATTATTTGCTTGATATCATATATTAATGGGCTTAGTTATATTAACCGAGGGAAGGGTTACTGCTGCATACACACCACCTTCTCTAGACCCCATTTGTGTGATTACATGGGATATGTGGTTGTTCTTGTTGCTTAGTTAAATTAAGACAAGATATTTTTAACTGGTTGGGGTTAATTCTCAATGCCCTCCTTTAATGAAGCTACATGTACTCCCAGTAAATTAATGGTCCAGATTGTCACCTTGGTTTTCCACCAGCACTCTACTTCCCAATGTGTTTTCTTTCTTTCACTAAACGTATCACTTTGTTTCTATGTGATTACAATAAAAATTGTGATTTCAAGTTCATTACTTACTTCGGTATTTTGTTTTTATGATTTTCTCCATATAAATATTATAGTATATTCGTTCACTTTTACCTGTACAAAGAGAACCGGGATTTTCCAAAGAATTACTGCAGCTTTCCCACTCCCTTTGATTCCACTATACTAAATATATATTTCTACTTTTAGCATATCAAGAGAAGAATCAACATTGATTACGTATTCCCCAAATCATTTTTCAATACCTAAGACTAAACATCAATTAATATGGATCTTGTGATAAAATGTGCATACCAATCATTGTCTTTTAAGTGGCATGCAAAGTCCAAAGTGGACAAGTAAAAGTGAACGTAGGGAATATCACAGTACATAATATAGAGAATTTGGATAGTGAAATTCATTGGAGAAGAAGAGTAAAAAGCTTTTTGTCTTCATCAATTGGGTGTGCAACCAAGCTATTCAAAAACCAAATTCACATCCCAAGTTCTTTATCTTCATCTGCAATGGAGCTTTGGAAATCAAGCTCTCATCCCCAACCCCAAGTTTTTAATCTTTGAAGAGTACAATTCAAATTATACTATTGTTACTGTAATATAAAGAGAAATTGAATATATTCACACAAAGAGAAAAAGTGCAAGGAAATGAATGATAGTGAAGAAGCAGGGTAAAATATGAAGTCTGTGAAGTGTTGGGGAAGTGGGCTTATGGTGGAAAACCAAGGTGACGGAGACTAAATAAGAGGATAACAATCTGGACCATTAATTTTCTGGGAGGACATGTGGCTTCTTTAAAAGAGTGCATTGAGAATTACTGCAGGTCTGCAGGATCCTCTACTAGAGAGGATCCAAATCCATTTTTATCAATGGTATATTAACAGCCTTTTGTACCCGGATGCCTAATTGTTGCTTCTTTATCTTAATCTGATAAGCGCTATCCAACAGAAACAGATTGCATGTTACTCCTTGTAGGTTGTCCTTTGAGTTGCGAACTTTTGGTGTGGTATACATCTGCTGAAGCAATGGAAACATTTTTTAAAGATAAACCGTGGATCAAACTGCTTTTGTTTTCAAATTCTTTTTTCTTCATTTCTTTATGATTTGTGTTCTGTGGGAATGTGGGTGGGACAGTCTTTGATGTTTGAATTTACTAGATTGCCTGATGTTGAGAACTATAGTCTTGTTATATTCTATATTTTTGTCCAATTTGATTATGTATTGATAACTTCCCTCAATTTTCTGTGGATCAAGCTTCTTATAGATTTGATGCCTTAAATGGACTAGTAATGAGGAAGTTGTTAGTTCATTGGGATGTGCAAAGTTTGCTGGGTGCCACATTTGAGATACTAGAATCTGTTCAGCAGCTTGTTTTTGAATTCACTCGCTAGACTATTCACAAAAGGCAGTTGACTTTCAATTCCATGTAACAATGAACAGTGGTTTGCTTTAAAGAAACATTTGAAAGTAGTTGAACTGAGATCAGATTCAATTTCGGAAAAAACTTGTTTGGAAGTGTGCTCTTTGATGCAGATTGCAGCGATTCACAAATTGTGCTCTGGTGTGATTAACTGCTTGAATTATTAATATCCTTTTTCTTTCTAGACTTCATTGCATCATCTGGATGTTGGCCTTGGATTGAAGACATTCTTCATTCTGATTTAGATGCATAGCAGTCAACTTACATTAATGTCCAGTAAACCGGTTTACCTTCTGAGATGCATCAAATGTGGTTATAGAGAGGGTATTCATAACATTTGATGTAAGATGCTTTGATTATGCGTATAAGTGGTATGTCGGCATACATTTTTCTGCTCTAAGAAGGAGGGTATTGGTTCTTTCTCTATTAAGAAAGTCCAGTGTGAATTCCCCTACTGAAAAGGTTCCATCAAGAGATGAATTTCAAATACATAAACTAAGCTCAGTCGTCAGTTCAAACATTTCTTCAAGTTGAGTTGGCAGACAGCTTCTGAGAATGGCACCTCTTGGTCTTGGCATCCTTCGAAATGAATCTAATTTGGAAAATGTCATCTGCTCTTCTTACTAGAAGTTGGGTGTCATATTCCCTAGTTCAAGGGGCCAGATGTTAGACATGATTATCTAAGTACTTTGGCAGGAACATGGAAGTATCATTTTCTCTTTTTAAGTTAATTTTTCAAATGTGCTATTTGTTTTCTAATTTGTGATCTCTGAGGTCCTTGGATTTTGTCCCATCAATAGATTCTATGTACTGTAAGCTGCATAAGATCTGGTCACGAAGTTCACAGGAGAAACATAAATGACTTTCATGCTTCTGCTTAGATGCTATTAAAATATTGAGACCTCTAGCTTTCTATGAGGATGTCCATTTTTGGGGTGTTCATAGACTACACGTTCTTTTTGAGTTTGTTTTGAAGAAGAATCAGGGAACAAAAATTTTGAAGCTATGGTGGCACTTATCAAACACCCTGATTCTCTAAACATGTGCCACAATCAAGAGGGAACTCGATTCTTGACCTTCTGGAAAGCCATAAGATCTAGATAGCTTGTTCTGTTTATTTGAAGGTTGGTTTGTTGCTTCAGTGTCTGAGGTCTTCGTACTTTGGACCATCAGAAGAGGACATACTTCTGAAGACAGAAGAGTAGTAGTTCTTCAAACAACCTAGTGAAAACAATGAAGGATCTTACTTATCAGATTTTTGTGGTTGATGATATATTGTGTTAGATTAGTTCTTTGGCATCTTAGTTGTCCACTCCCTTTGCATTGTATTTAATATGCTGAAGCTGGATTAAGATTTTGAAGGTTGGCTTCATCTTCTTTGGTGGCTTTCTAGTCAACAGTTGAAGAGGGGGAAGTTGAAATGTCCCTAGTTGGTGGATGTTCATAATATAGATTAGTTGAATTGATGCTGGAAAAGGTAGCTGAATGAAGATCAGTGTGTTGCATAATAACCGAAATTAAATGTTTGTGTGAAATCTAACGCGAAGAGCTCCTCAAAAAAAGGTATCTTGCAGCTGTGAGATTTTCTCAGTATGATCAATCACCTATGGCTTAGATATACTTCTTCCATACATTTACTCGGCACTCATGGTTGAAGTAAGTGAAGAAAAGTATATGGCTTTAAATCAGATCAATTGGCATTGTCAAGAATTTACCTGAGATGTTAGAATGCCTTCATATTTGTTGTTTTATGTTTGCTGTTAATGGTACCGACTTCATTGGGTGCATTTGATTCGAGTCAACCTAATGGGGATTGGGGTCAGATGATTGAAATCTGCAGGACTGCAGATTCTGCTGCCCAAGTAAGACTCCTTTGCTGTTTTAAATGTATTGTCATATATAATATCTTTCTACTTTTGGTGTAAAGAAGTAGGTTTAGAGGATATAGATCAGTTTGTAGATTTATTAAGATCTTTGTAAGTATCTTCTTTTCTATTTGTTTTTTTTTATCTAACACTTTTTGATGGTGTCCAGCATGTCCTTAATGCTGTGGAATACACATTTACCAGTTCCAAAAAAAAAAAAAAAAACTACTCTTAAGTTCCTCTTAAAAAAATACTTTTAAATTCCTAGGCCTTGCTCAAAACATGTTGATTCAAGATCCTCCATTCTCATCTTGTGATTTGATTAAGAAAACGTGTTGCCGTCTATTTTACCCACTGTATTTTAATTGCCTCCATTTATGCCATTGTTGCACGCACAATTATAAAATTGTAGTTGACTTGAGACCTGAAGTCCCTATCATGAAGTAAGTTAACAAAGTATTTTGAAGTTGAATGCTGAAGTGCCCAAGCAAAACCAAAAATTGAGGTGCTGCCTGATAGCATAAGTCTTATTTCCCTAAGTTGCTCGGACTCTCCAAAAATGTTGCTGCACCCGTGTCGGATCCTCCGAAAATGCACTAGTTTTGAAGGATCCGACACGCACCTGATGACATTTTTGAAGAGTCCAAGCAACATAGTTATTTCCAGTAGAATAATTGAGAATGTTTAACTCTAATCACTCATAATACCTTGTATTTGGTCTGGTTGTTAAGCGTGGTTAGGAGGGAAGGGAGCATCATAGAGTAAGCTTTATGGACGAATTGTAGATAATATATTTTTGGTAAGCAAAAATAATTTTGCTGATATTTCATCTCCAAGAAGGTAGTTTCCTACTACAAAAGTATCAAGGACTTCATGTCTTTCAAAAATGCAAGGAATCTCAATACATGATCTAAATCATATGCAGCGTTTCTACATCAGCAAAAAGTATAGGTATAAGTTTTACAAATGAAAACTCATAGATTGAGGATGACCTGAGGGATTAGTTAAAGGGGAAAAGGTTGAGGGACTTATAACTTAGGTCACAGGTTCGAGCCCTGCGCCATGCGAACTAAGCCTGGTATTTAAATGGGGAAGTGTGGAGGGGCGATCCATTTTCCCCGAGTTTCGAAGGCTGCCGCTGGTCCTCAATGATGGCCCCAGATGGATTTCTCGGTCATAAGAAGCCATAAGGATTTCTCAACTTATGGCTTTTCTCAGTCATAAGAAAAAAAACTTTAAGTTATGAATGATTGAGGATTTTGTAGCAATGGCAAAAATTTGAAAAACTTACCTAGGAAAGGCAATTATTCCCTTTCGTGTAAACAAAAAAACTGTGAAATTTGTCTATCTCTTCAGATCAGTATATGAAGGTTGATGCATGGGTGTCAAAAAACCTTTTTCTTTTTGTCCCAAGACTTATATTTTGATACCCTATTGTTTGTGGAAGGTGACAGGTATCCCGTGGAATTAGTCGAGCTATGCGCAAGCTGGCCTGGACACCAAGTTATCAAAAAAAAATTGACACCAATTATGAGGGGCCCCAACATGAACTATTCTAAATTCTTGAAAGTTGTGTCATTCTTAACGTTTCGTGCCTATTTATTGACTCAGAGTAACAGTCTTCAAATAGCTTTGATTTCTTTGATTATATCTTGGTCCAATCATGTCTTGGTATATTTGTGTAGGAGATAGGTTATTGTTTTGTGAATATGGGGAGGAGTAAAAAGGTTAATGATACTGCCTCTTCTTTTCTGAATTTTTGTGATGGTTCACTGTGATAAGATTGAGTTCCTGTGTTTAAATTGGCTATGTTGAGCAGTTTGTTTTCCTCAGAATTTGAGTTCCCGTGTTAAAAAATTGGCTTGGTTGAGCAATTTTTTTCCGCAGTATCATTCTGAAAGGAAGCTGTCTTGTTATGCTGATTGAGACAGTTTCCATTATACATGTATTGATCCACAATGTATTAGCTATGCCTCAATCCCAAATAGGTTGAACAATTTCTACTAGTATTAAAATGAAGGAGCTCAAAACATTTCTGGTCTTTCAGATATTTAGTTATTCCATTTGATGCTCTAGATATGTAGTGAAAAGAGTAAATGATAATATCCTGGCAATATAATGCTCATCATCAGTTTGATTAATTCACACTTGTATATTACAGGGGGTTCGAAGAACTCAGCTCTTTGATGTATGTTTTCTGGCATTAGTTTCTGAGTTTTTTGCCCTGTAGGTTATGCTGGACAGAGACACGGGCCGCCCTCGTGGATTTGGGTTTTTAACATTTGCAGACCGCCGAGCAATGGAGGATGCAATAAGAGAAATGGATGGTGCGGAGGTTGGTGATAGGGTGATATCAGTGAACAAGGCCCAACCAAAGATGGGAAGTGAGGATCCTGACCATGGCTATGGTGGAGGTTACGTATCAGGTGGCAGGGCGAGCTATGTTGGGGGTAATAGGTCAGTTGGGCAAGACACTTGCTTCAGCTGTGGTCGCCCTGGCCATTGGGCTAGAGACTGTCCATTGGAAGGAGGTGGCCGGGGTGCTCGACCACTAACACCCCCTCCTCGTTCTAGGTATGGTGGCGCACGTGGGGATAGGTTTGGAAGTGACCATGATAGGTACATGGATGACCGATATGATAGAGGGAACCATGCTGATAGGGAGCGCTATGACAGCAGATATGAGAGTCGTGATCGATACACTAGTGACAGGTATGTCCTTGTAAGAACTGAATAAAATGCAGTGGTATCACAATTTTGAGGGGAAGTTTGTTAGCAAGCCTGCTTAGCTTTCAGATTTTAACCCCAACTCCCCGAAAAATAATGGAGTAGTTGTACGAGGTGTCGCTGCGTTTAAATCTTTTTTTGCCCTCTTCTTCATTTCTTGTCTAGTTTTAAAATTGTGAGTGGTCGCTTGTTTTCTCACCAAAATAACGTGTATCCTAGGTACCCTCCTGGTGGTGATCGCTTGGGCAACAGGTATGGGGGTTCTGACCGCTACCCTCAGAATGGCTATGGCAAAGAAAGAGGGTTTGACAGAGATGTGGGTGACAGATATGAAGCTGGAGGGCCAGCACGATATGAGGGAAGAAACTACAGAGATAGAGCAGGACCTTATGATCGCCCTCGAAGGGGAGGCGGGCCGCCTTCCTTTGACCGTTACTGAGATGAATAAGCGCATCCATGTTGAATTTTAGTTGATCTCTGTAGTAGTATAGTGGTACGGATCACACTAGGATAAATGTATGTCGCTCTGTTTGGAAGCAGTTAGTAGTGACTAGTGATGAGTATTGACAAGTAGAGTACATCATTAGAGCTATGTTTTTTTTTCCAGTGAATATTGTATGCTTGATAAAAGAGGGAGCTTCCTCTATTGGAATGCATTATGGTATTTCCACTTATAATATGAAGCAATAAACAGCTGGTGACCAAAACTTGCAAGATAAACAAAAATGCATGAAGGCAACAACCAATCTCTGATATCTATCCCTACCAATGTACAAAATGTGGGACGTTCATAAATACAATTAATTAATCGCGAGTTTCGTTGAATAATATAATATTAAGTCTGGTGACCTAAAATGCTATAGTAAGTGTAAGCATGGTATTGATAGTTGAGCATCTTGATTGGTGATAGTTATGTACAAAGTCAGAAGAATGAAAAAGGAGAGTAAGATGGGGGTGGTTGTTGGTGGTGCTGCAGATTGAGCACCAGTACCGCTGAATATCATTCCGAACAAGTCGACACTGCCGCTATTGGACTGGGCGTGACCCCTGCCGCTTCCTTCAGTAGCGCCCCCTTGGGGTGAGATGCTTATGCTGTTGTCCCTGTTTTATATATATTTACAAGTAAGAAAATGCAACTGGTATGATAAAATTTTGCATCAGTTTTAAATTTTATCTAACATGAATTGATAATGCTAGCAAGTAAAATTCTATGATAAGCACTAATTGATGAGTCATGCTTTTTGGTATAGACTTGAATTATGATTTAAAACATTGATTTGAATAGATGTTGAAATTGTGTCTAGACATGCAATCTAAATATCAAAAGTTATATTTTTTTTCTCACTGAAAATTCCACAATTTATGAAAATTATCAAAACTTTTTCGAATATGAGTTGAACAGGTGTGGCCGGCCATCTGGAGGAGCTATTAATGGGTTTGCGAAGGGAGGTTGTGAATTTTACCAAAGAATGACATTTTTTAATAAATATGGATTGGTAACCTAGGGAGTAAAGTAGGCTTGGATAATTATTTTTGCAATAAATATACATCTTTTTTTAAAGAAAATTTTTACATTATGGAGAAGGTTTTTGATTTTAAGTTTTTTTAAAGATCACAATTTTGAACTTCAAGTTCTACCTTGGAGGAGAATTTGAAATGTGAAATCAAAATTTTAAATTAAAAAGTAGAAGTTCCATTCAAAGTTTGAGAAGCAACCACAAATTTAAAATCATGACTTTGAAACTGTACGTCCAAACAACAACCAAGTACAATTATTATTTTTAGCTGCCTCTATATTAATATATAATATAAATAAATTCTCATTTTTTAAACTTAAAGAGACTTTAAAATTATTTTTAATGATGTGACTAGAGTAGAATGAAATACTACCCTCCGGTTGCCAAAAATAATAATGAAATTCTTTCCTTTTTAGTCTATTACAAAAATGAACTCTTTCCTTTTTTGGTAATATTTTAATTTCAATTTTTCATGTGACATATTTAAAGCCACAAGATCAGATGATAGTTTGATACATTTGACATAATTTTAAACTAGAACCGTGAAATTAAAAAGTCTTATTTATTTTATTAAACTTCATGCTGAATTATCATATATATATATATTTTTTGGAACGGAGAAAGTATAAAATAAGCGCGTCCTTTGTATTGCTGGAAAGCTTGGAGCAGCAGAGCTCTCACATGCTAAACAGTAATGTGGTCCTCATCTGTCCTTTTTTTCCCCTGCCCTACAACTCTTATTAGAAGAAAAATGAAAGATTCCAATTTCCACCGGGTTGTGTCGTTTGGTAGGATGTATCATGTTTAGGCAAAATATTATTTAATTTTTTAATTTGGTAGAATTTTTACTTCATAATTTATTCAGTATTATAAGTGCATAATTAATACATAACAAATTATGATGTTAATAATATACGAGTTATTAATCTATCTAGGTATATACAAGGGGGGCTGACTGTGTAGTGGCCGGCCGGGCCCTACTGAAGGGTTTTACATCAGCTTTCACTGTCCCACGTGAAGACGCCTACCTACCTTTAATACTACACTTTAACACTCTTTTGAAAAAAACAAATTACGTCATTTCAAATCATGATTTGAATCATAAACTAATTGTTGTTTTTGAGTCTATGAATCAATTAAGGCCATTTGAAGAGCTGATTTTCTCTTATTTGTTTAGGTTTGTCAATTTAATTATTGTCAGAGTTTATGAGTCGATCAACCCCATAATTATGTAATGAGTCCAGCTACTTTTTAGCTGTCTTTATGGTGCAATTACTTTCTATCTATCTGCCTCTAAAGTCAGCTATTAGTTCAGAGGTACTTTTTTTAAATTTGCTCAGGTGGTGGTGTGTATGAATCACTTGCTTATAATTTTCAAGAAAAAAGGTAGAAATATGGGAGAAGTACCTGGAGCCACCAAGGACACCAGCATTGGCGGTGAGCTGGTTGATGAGAAGGGCGGATTTGGGATCGACGCTGTAGGCTTTGGTATATTGGTTGGTAAGGCCTTGCCCTGAAGGCACAAAAAATGCGCCATTAACCATAGTGTCCCCGTCCGTCCTCCAATTCCATTCATCCCACTGCCCATTGTCCGTGTCCTCCCGCTTCGTCACCTGTTCGTTCATCCCACATATATAATCACAAATCAGCTTTTATTACCTTTACAACTTCTTATTCAGGAGTAATTATTAGCTCTTAAAAGTTTGGTTCTCAATTATAGTTTCAAGTTTCAACTTTAATGAAGTAACAATCATATCATATTCAGGTTTCTGATTAAATATATAATATTCCCTCCGTCCCAATATATGTCACATACATTTTTTTAGTCTTCTGTAATTATAAATAATTAGAACACAAATGGCCAAGAGTCTTCTGCACTAAAACTATTAAACTTTATGTCAAAGTATCACATTGAGACGGAGAGAGTAGTTTATTAAACATGACAAGGCTCAAAATAATTTAGGTTCCAAATGCAACAATTATCACCAAAATATGTCCTACAGAAAGAGAAAAAAACAACTTTTTCCCAGTAGCCCCAAATTAAAAAGGATTGAGAAAGGAAGCACACATGATAAAACCCCGATTTTATGCAATAGCTCACAAACCACACAATGGCAAGAAGGATAGAGAAATTTACCTCCTTCAAATTTGGATCATCAGGAGCAGTATATCGATTGCCTTGACTGTTAATGGTAGGATTAGCACTTCCACCAATTGCATACATTTGCCAGTGTGTGAAATCGTTGTTCACCACATGTACATATCCTCTTCTAATTCTTGGCATTCTTTGTACTAATCCTTCTCCGAAATGATTGAATGCAATTGTCACCTAAACAACATAGATCAATCTCGCAATTACTTACTAAAACTAGAAAGAAAAAACAAAGAAAGAAAGAGAAAAATCAGTAATCAACCTGCATTCCTGAATCAGGCAAGTATTTATCATCATGTCCCAAGAGCATAACATCATCATGATGACTAAAATAGTTATTCGATATGGTAATAGCAGTAGACCCCATGATCGCATCAATCAAGCCGTCGGTACAATGAGATAATGCACAGTGATCAATCCAGATATTATGAGATCCAAAGATGGATATACCATCACCATCCGATTTGCCTCTCCACCCAACATGCGTAGGGCTCGACCGTATGTTAGTATTACCCGAAGGGACACAATTGTAAATATGAACATTATGTATAATCACATTGCTCACATACTGTAATGTAATACACCCATTGCCGGTGATGTGAACATTTGCTCCCCGTCCGTCGATGGTCTTGTAGTTGTTGATAATAAGCTCATGCTTTAGCTTTATGACCATGTCTGCTGCAAACACGATCCAAAGAGGTTCCTCTTGAACAACGGCGTGACGGAGAGTGCCCGGAGTTGGGTTGACGGTGTCTCTGTCTGAGGAGTCTCTGACTACGTAGATCTGACCTCCTTTCCCACCCATTGCACCCTGACCGAAACCAATGGAGCAGTCTGCTAGCCTTTGCCGGTCTTTGGCCCAGTTTGGGTCGCATTGCCAGCAATCGTCTATTGGGTTTCCTGTACTCTGACATTTGTTATCTCTTACAGTTGTCTGGAGTAGTAATCTGGACTCATTGACTTTCCTGTAACAGAAACAAGCGATGGATGCATAAACATGAAATTAAGTGGGAATTTAAGAGAAATAATGCAGATATTTAGTTACCTTTGTAGTTGGTGAACAACAGATTCAGGATAAGGGTGTTGGTTAGGAAGGGTAAGATTGAGTTGGGCATTAACTAGATGTGAGAAGGAGACAATGAGGTAGATAAATAAGAGAATGGCTGTGGCAGGAGGCATCCTCAGCTTCATCCTTGCCCTGTAAAACAAACTCTGGGAGGACATATCTAGTTCTTTGAAATGCTTGCTGCACATTCTGTGAAAATGTATAGAATACTACAATAATAATAATAATAATGGAGTAGTGTCAGTAATTAGGGTTTTGGACATACTCTATATTGGGGGTGATGACTGTGATGTTCATACTATATTGAAGGATGGAGGAGAGAGCACTTTTCTTTAGTAGCTCCCTCACTCTCTATTTAGGGGTCTTCAAACAAAATGGATGTGTCCAATCAAATTTTTAAAAAGAAAAACAAATTACTTGTGATATGGTTTAATTTGATTTTATGTTTAATTTAGTACTATAATGTAACCACTTATCACACCAGTGAGGAGGTGCGAGATGTTAATAATAGAGGGTATGAGGAGATGCAGTATAAGCCGAAAGAGTATTGAGCAGAGGTGATAAAACATGATATGATATTACACATGATCTTAAATAGAAGGGTGTGAAGGATATGTATAAGGGCAGAATGTTAGAAAGTAGTGTAGTATTGTCTTGCTTATAGTAGTTGGTGTTTGTCATTATACTAGTGGTATTATTATTGATTAGTGTCTTTTGATTATCACACTATTGTATTATTTATTTTTTCCTTTTTTGGATAGACTTTGCACTACCTGTGTTACCCTATATTTTCTTCACTATCTTTGTTGTAGATGGATTTACTATCGAGGCTTTTTCGGAATAACCTCTCTGCATGCACGAGGTAGTGGTAAGATTAACATACATTTTATCTTCTCCAATCCTCACTTATAAAATTTCACTAGATATGTTATAAAATTT